TTAAGATAAATTATAAATATCTTTATTCACACTACCTCTTGCCGTCCTCCAGACTTACTTCACATTTGGTTCTTTTCAGTTTCATAAACTTTCCTTTCAAGTTCAAAAACTTTTCAATTTCTGGAATATGTCACATTTTCTCAGCTAACTGCATTTTTATTTGCTCATCTTTTCACATCAAATAGTAGTTTTACCAAACCTATTTATCTCTGTTGTCTGGTAAATATTTTCTCTTTTCAAATCTCATTTAAGGGGCCGGCCCCGTGGCTTAGCAGTTAAGTACGTGCACTCTGCTACTGGCGGCCTGGGTTCGGATCCCGGGCGCACACCAACACACCGCTTGTCTGGCCATGCTGAGGTGGCGTCCCACATACAGCAACTGGAAGGATGTGCAACTATGACATACAACTATCTACTGGGGCTTTGGGGAGAAAAAGGAGGAGGATTGGCAATAGATGTTAGCTCAGGGCTGGTCTTCCTCACAAAAAAACAAAAAAAAATCTCATTTAAAATTGATATTATCATGAAAACATTCTCCAATTCCTTGTCATTGATTGGACCTTTTTACTACATGCTCAGAAAACTGTCATTTCTAAACAGCACATTTTCAGACTTGAGCTACAGTATAAGCCAGATAGTGGACCATATCAGACATATTCTTCTCTGTATCCCAAGTAAGTAACACACATCTATCACATTGTAAGAAGCTAAAAAACTTATTTTATGAAAAAATGAATATTTAAATGAATGAATGATTATATTGAGGAATATTTGCCTGAATTCCCAAGGTGATTACTCCAGACTTAATACTCTCAAATCACAAGTGTGAAATAAACACCCTCACCTTTCATCTTCCTGGAAAACTCAATGCCAAATTTTATTGGCTACTTGCTCTCTTTGACTCAGAGGACAATAGTGCTAACGTTGGTGTTGGGAGTCCTAGGTATCCAGCATTCTGCTATCCTTCGAGCTGAGAAGGCAGGCACAGCCCTGGGTCTCAGAGCCACTTTTGAAGTTGGTCTGTATCACAGGTCAGCATCTCCAATTGTAAGACTTAGTGTTTCTCCACCTTCAGGGTAGCAAACATTCTCGCATTTCATGGTCCCCTGAGCGGTTCTGATTGCTGTGAAGGTGTGTCCTTGATTTAGATATGCCAGACACCAAATAATGTGGAGACAAAACTCTCCAAAGATTTCCATTTCTCAGGGAACAAACTCTTGAGAAAAGAAGCAATTGCTGTTTATATTTCCCAGTTGTTTAACTTTTTCATTCAAGAGGGATTCTTTGTCTATCCTGATTTTATCAGTGAGTGATAAAGATTTGTTCACAGGACCACTTGCGGATTTTTTTTTAATGCAGATTCTAAACCAGCAGCTCTGAGTGGGATTTCAGATTCTACATTTCTTACAAGCCCCTAGGCAGAGCTATTGGTTTACAGTTTACACTGTGAATAGCAGGTTTTAGAGGACCAGGGCACATCCTGACAAGTTATTTTACTGTTAATAGGCCTAGAAATTTTAAAATAATGAAGTAACCATTTTTTTCTTTTATGAAAATATGTCTGTTTTATGTATAAATAGGCAATATACTTACTTGATTCAAAGTCAAATTTATACATAATTGATAACATATGTGCAATGTTTGCTTTCTTGAGGCCCTCACTAATAATAATTCTACTTGATAAATTGTATATTTAAAGAAAATATTTTATTATTTGGCACCAATGTTCCATATTCCTTCTTTCTTATATATTTTCACTTTTTTTTCCAAAGTTGGAATGATGGTAAGCAGTCTTAGATTGTAGTATGATTCAATGTAAATTAGACGGTCACATCAGGGGAGCTCTTATAAAACATCATTAAATGTATTAGGTTCAATTCTATTTAAAGGAGTTTATAGTTGGATTACATAAGTGTTTCTCAATTATGGCTGCATACTTAAAATCACCAAGGGAGTTCCCTTAAATCTCAAAATCCAGGCTGCACCCTATATCAATTAAGTCAAAATCTTAAGATCTGAGGTCAGATATCAACATTTTTTAAAATTTCTCAAACTTTAATGTTTACGGAATAAACTGAGGATCTTATTCAAATGCAGAGTCTGGTTTAGTAAATCTGGTATATGGCTTGAGATTATGCGCTTTTAACAAACTCTCAGATTTTGCCCATGTTTCTAGTATATGGACCTCTCTGAGAAACAAGGTTATAGATGATCTCTTATTTTGAATCTCTTCCACTATAATTCTTTCAGATTCAAGTAGGGTCCCCCATGTGCACACATCATAAAACTTCATTTACCTTTGGAATTGCAGTGGCTGCAGGATTCTAAGATGATTACAGGAGAATATTGGGTATCTCGAATGCTTCCTTATAGGTGAGCAGACTATGATTGACTATTACTTCAGTGTACTGAATAAAAGAACTGAGAAAGAGGGTTGGAGCTTGATTAAGGACACAAAGGAGAAGGGTATAAACAGGCCTTTCCATAAATGATTATACAATAATGAAAATTATTAAGACTCATAGAAGCCATTGTTTCAATTCTATCAGGATATATGTACAGATTCAGGAGAGAACAAATATATATAAAGAGAGAAAGACAGAGTCAGAGAGAGAGATTTTTGTACCCTTACATATAACAGAGATATAAAATAATGTATTATACACATAAGTTAAAATATGCTATTATCATAAACCATACTGACATTTGTGAGCACCTACAGTATGCAAAGCATTATATTAAGGAATTTAGATAAATAATTCCACCTGTTAGCATGCAAATGGAAATCTCATACATTGTTAGTGGGAATGTAAATGGCATGACCACTTTGGAAAACACTTACGTTGTTTCTTATAAAGTTAAATATATATTTATATAGGATACAACATCACTCCTGTATTATTTACCTCCCCCCAAAAAACGAAAACATATGTCTACACAAAGACTTGTACACGAATGTGCATGGCAGTTTTATTCAGAATAGTAAAAAAACTGGAAACGCTGAAATATTCATCAACAATTGAATAAATAAATTGTGTTATATCCATGAGATGGTATATTTCTTAACAATAAAAAGAAAGGAACTTCAAATATACACCAAAACATGGATGAATGTCAAAGCATTATGTTAAGCGAAAGAATCCAAACACCAAAGAGTTTATATTATAGATTTCCTGCATACAAAATCCTAGAAAAGACAAAACAAACACATAGCAACAGAAAACAGATTCATTACCTGGGCCAGGGTGTTTGGGGATTGACTGCAAAGGGGCAAGAGCAAATTTTTGCCCTTAATATTGACAGGATGATATACATCCTTAAATATTCACAGTCCTCTTACAGTTAGTAAGGTACTACTTCACATAAAATATAGAAATATTAAACGTTATAGGTCAATGCCCCCCTCACACACACTTGTACTTTATGGTATAGTTGTTATATACACAGAACAATGGAAACCTTGTTAAATTTGCTTTTTATTTTTAGTAACTTCTTGGTAGATTCCGTAGGATTTTACACATAAAAGATTATATCATCTGCAAATAAAGACTATTATTTCTTCCCTTCCAATATGGATGCCTTTTATTTCTTTTCCTTGAATTTTTACTCTGACCAAATTTTCAACACAATATTAAACAGAAATGATGAGAGCAGACGTCTTCGCTTTGTTCTTGATATTAGGTGGAAAATGTACTAGTCAAGAGATAGGAACCACACAGTGATTTGAATAGGGAGAGTTTAATAGAAATATTTTTAATGGGGATTAGAGTAACAGGAATTTAGCTCTTGAGAGTTTAAGAGATTTCTAAAGAATATAGGAGTAGCAGATACAAGAAGCAATACTCTATCTAGGGTGATATAGAACACTCAAGGAAGAGTCCTCCCCCTACCTGGGCTGAGTCTAGTGCAATCTCATGTTCATCTTGGGCTGAGGTGGTTCTGGGCTGGCTGCATGAGATAAAGACTGAAAATCCAGCTTGCTAGATGGTCTGCCATGTGAGACCCTCAGAGTACATGCATGCCCTCAAACTGAGGAGAAGGTGTGGGGAACAGTGATCTGGGTTGGGTCTCAGGTTTTTTCTGAGACTCCTGGCATTGCCACCACTGCCTCAGTTGAGGGCTGTAGAAATTGACTGGTGGCCAAATGCTGGAGAAAAGTCCCACACTGCAGAAACCTAGTACTTGAGAAACCATGAGAGCGCAAACAATGGAAAAAAAAAATCTGTAGATCTTGACAAGAGGACCAAACCAGAAACTAGGAAGAAAAGCCCTCTTCCTCCTCAAGTGCTCACTATTGACAAGAGTTAACACCTTACCAGAGGACAAAGAAAAAGTAGTTCACAATGTTCAACTTCATTATCACAGAGGCAGCAAAAAGGGTGAAGTTGGAACTGAGAGATTGTAAATCAAATACTGACCCAGGAAATATTCACTGTTTCACCATGAAGTATGACCTTAGCCATAGATCTTAGTAGATGCCTTTTTACAGGTTAAGGAATGTTCATCTATTCCTTATTTCCTAAGAATTTGCATCACTAATGTCTATTGGGTTTTGTAAAATAGTTTCTCTACATCTATTTGGATAATCATATGGATTTTTCTTTTTTAGCCTGTATATATGCTGAATTACATTGACTGATTTTTTAATGTTAAACCAACCTTGCATTTCTAGTATAATTCCTAGTTTATAATGATGTATAGTAGTCCCTCCTTATTTGTGGCGGATATGTTCTAAGAACCCCGGTGGATGCCTTAAACCATAGATAGTACCAAACCCTAATTATGCTATGTTTTTTCCTATATAGTACAGCACGGATACACTGGACAAAGGGTTGATTCACGTCCGACTGTGACAGAGCAGGATGGTCTGGAGGGGCATTTTGGAGATATATTATATGGGAAAGTGTCACTGAATTTCTAAAAATTTGAATAATAAATCTAATACATCACATATCTCAGCAAACCAAAGGCTTGCTTCTCGTATGAGATCATCATTCTATTCATGAACATTTTGTACTGTTCAGAATTTTTTTCAGGGCAAATTTGACATCCTTATTCCGCAGACTGTAGATCAGAGGGTTCAGCAGGGGCACAATGATGGAATAAAACACAGAGGAAACTTTCCCTTGATCCATGGAGCTCACAGATGATGGCTGCAGGTACATGAATGCTGCAGATCCAAAGAAAATAGCAACAGCTGAGATGTGGGAACTGCATGTGCTGAAAGCTTTGGACCTGCCCTCAATGGAGTGGATTTGGAGGATGCTGGAGAGGATGAAGATATAGGCGGCAAGGATAGTTAAGGCAGGAGTCAGAATGTTAAATGCACTCAAGACTAGAACCAGTAATTCACTGATGTAGATGCTGGAACAGGATAGCTCCAACAGTGGAAAGAGATCACAGAAATAATGGTTAATTACATTGGTCTTGCAGAAAAAGAGTCTCAACATAAAGCTGGTATGGACTGTAGATCCAACAATACCCAAAATATAAACTCCCACTGTGAGCCAGAAGCAGATGCGATAAGACATGATGACATTGTAAAGCAAGGGGTTACAAATGGCAACATAGCGGTCGTATGCCATTGCAGCCAACATGTGACACTCTGCAATGGCAAAAATTATGAAGAAATAGAGCTGAGTCATGCATTCAGGGTAGGAAATGATGTTCTTCTGTGTCACAAAGTTTGCCAGCATTTTGGGGATAATGACCGTGGAATGACACAAATCAATGAAGGACAAGCTGCTGAGGAAACAGTACATGGGCGTGTGCAGGTGAGAGCTGAGCCCGATCAGTGTGATCATGCCCAGGTTCCCCACCACCGTGACCACATAGATTCCTAGGAAGAGGAGGAAGAGAGGCAGCTGTAGTTCTGGCTGTTCTGTTAGCCCAGCGAGGATGAACTCAGTCACTGTGGAATGATTTCCAGTATCCATTATCCTCTCAGCAGGTTCTAGGTTTAAAAACATAAAATAAGTGTACTCATGAGTGTGTGGGTGTGGTGTATTTGAGTGTATGCACATGTGTATATGTGCGTGTGTATGAGGGGGAAAATAATTTTGTAGAGATTATTATTTTATCCCTCATCAGAGGAGATTCTTCAATGCGGGAATCTCTGATGTTACTCCTGCTATTCTGGGACAATCAATGATTCTGACCAGAGAAGAAATTATAGAGTTCAAACCTTATAATTAAGATACTTCCTAATTTTTTAAGAGAAAACATCAATTTTTCATTTTTTAAGTCAGTAGAAGGAACATTACTATTGTTATTTCTGAGGACTCTTTTCTTTCTCACATATTCTATATGTATATATTGTCATAATGTTTTCATATCACTCAGAATAAGTAATAGTGTTGTATGCTTTCTATAATTAATAAACATAAGATTCATAAGTCTGCTAAAAGTAGTTACATTAGTCTGAGCTATTTTTCTTACTAGAATCCCAACTCAAAATATCTGAAGGACTGAATAAGTACAGTATCATTCCCCCTGAGATTTTGTTGCTCAGAATGTCCCCGCTCCCTTCACCCAGGCCTACCACCCCAGAAAGCAGGAACGTAACCTCTGGCAGACATCATGCTTATATCTCAGCATCTTTTCCAGACCAAGGAACCATCCTCCCATGTTCTAATTTGGATAATCTCAGGGGCCATAATATAATGGCTTAAAATTAGGTCATGTATTCCACCACTGTGACCAGGCGAGCAGTGGACTATGATTGGTCTATGAAATTTGGACTTCATGGTTGAAGTGGTGGAGGTCAGAAAACGATTTATACTCCCAAAATATGAGAAGGATTTGTGAAGACAAACACTAGGTGTTACTTACGCTGAACTTTTTTTATAATGATATATTTGTATGTGCTCTCTATAGAATTCAAAGATGGTGGATGTGGGTTAGTAAAGCACATGCAAAATACATTACAAATTTTAATTGAAGTTCATACTAGTCGACAGTGTGAAGTGTTTTCTGAAAAAAGAACAATGTATCTTTAGTTTATATTTGCAAATAAATCAAGTAGTTTCTAGAAAATGGAAATTCATATTCTTACTTAACTTCCAAACAGTAGTTGGATTAGTATTTTCAGTTTGGGGAACAATATTTAATGTGAAATAGAAAAACTGGACAATTTCAGAAAAATGATCTAGAAATTTGTCATTTGAAGAATGGCTGAAATAACTGTGGCTATTTCACTAGCAAAGCAAAAATTCATGTGGCACATGATAGTTATCTCAACGTTCAACATATTGCTTTATTTAAGAGGTATTGGTGGTATGGTATATGTCTTTAAGAGGGGCAAGTAAAACCAACTGCTTGAAACTATGGGGAAAAACATTTGGTTTCACAACAAAGATGAATGTTTCAATAGTCAGACATACCCTGAACTTACAGTCAGAAATGTTTGAGCACAGCCTGAATAAGCACTTATTAGCAGCTATTGTTTAAGGACACATGTGCCTGATGGGTGATGGGATTAAATCGCATTTAACATCTCTTCCAGTTCCAATATTTCATAATTTTATAATTCTAATATTTCCTGATGTTAAGTTAGACAGTAGTGGATTCAAACCTTAACTAAATTCCATACCTGCTGTGTGACCTTGATTTAATTATGTCCACTCTCCAACCCTCCAAACAACAAAAATGCTTATATGTGTGTCATGTGAAAGTTAAGTTAAATGATACCTACACAGTGTTTAGCACAGTTCCTGGCTTTTGGTGATAACTTAATAAATGCCATTGTCATTTTAATTTTAATCTATTGAGTTTCTTGCTGATATGTCTTTTATTTAACCAACATTTTTATTCCTGTAATGAATGGCAGGAGTTTTTAATTTTTTTCCTTACTGTATCTCCTTTTTGCTTCTATATACATTGATACGTACCGAGATTTGGAATATCTTACTAAATATTAACCTCCTAAAAATCATCAATATTTTTCATGGTCACCACATAAATGACAATTTCTGTCATTCAAAGACATATCATCTGACAACAAAAGGAAAGTTTTCATGTAACAACAAATATCATGTGATTTAGCTATCTCACGAAAGAGAATTTGGTAGACTCATTCTTGACTCATCATATACCCTACACTTTTCTCTTATTTTATCCTCTCTATCCTATGGAATCTATTTAATAGTTAGGGCTCTTTAGTTAAGGGCTTTAATGGTGAAAGTCCTAGTTAATAAAACTATTTTCTACATGTTCATGAATATATTTCATCTGTTTACATTTAGTGCACACTTAATTCTGTATTATTATAAGTTATTGCTTTTCTTTTGACTAAACTGTAAACTTAGTACAGTGCTTGGCAGAGTGACTTATACATAGCAAGTCTCGATAAATATGTGCTTTTAATAGAATTATTGAAAGAAGGTTAGAGATAAGTTGACATAGACTCAATATAAATAAACAAAGCCTTCAGATTGCCTGAGTTGAAATTAGTGAACAATGAAGTGTTTGCCACAATTTTATTCAGCATGGGAAGGGTAGATGATAAGAGAACCTTTGCCTATCAAGGTGTGTGAATGTTAGAATGAGGACAGGTAGAGATAGATAAATAACTATATGCATCTGTAAGTGCACTGCAAGGGAGTTGGAGGAGAGGATTCTACAATTTTAAAAGTAAAGAACTAGAATTCAGACATACCCCTCCTGCTCCACAGAACTCCAGTGCTGTGTATTTTTATTCTCCTCCATTTCTCTAAGGGAAAAATGATTCTGATGATGCTGGTGGATGGTTCTAAGTACTAACCTTGCAGGACTCCTTGGTGCTGCGGGGATCATAGGCTAAAAGTCTCTGTGGCAATAATTTTGAGTCACTAGTCCTGATCTCTGATGAACCAATGGCCCTCTACAAAGGCTGGTTGATATGACGATGTTTTTATACTCAGGGCATTCATGCAAACAGTCAAATAATGATAGTGACCTCCCACTGGAATCCTATCCCACAAGTATCAACTCTTGGGGAAAGATACAATTAGAATTTCAATTTTCCCCATTGCCTCTCAAGTACTTAATATTGTTACATAGATGTGATTCATTGCTCTATTGATTGAAAACAAGGATGTGAAAGATATTGTTAGAGTGCCAGTGAATTTCACGAGAAACTATTTAAAAGTTCAAAATTTCAGGAAATTTTTAAGACATACACTAAAGGAATTTTCTACAGTGATTTCCCACAAGGGAAAAAGTAGAAAATCAGGAAAAACAACATTTGTCTGTATGATTTGAAAGTTTTTATTTTCATTGACCTCTACTGTCTGTATTTAGACATCAGGTACTCATAAAACATTAATATTTAGGATATTTTAACTTCTGGGCTGAATGAAAGTATCAGCTGGATATAGCCATAACCCTATGAGAAGTTTCTAACAAGTCTCTAACAAGCCTAACGAGGAAAGAAGAAGACTTATTTTCTTCTAAAATTAAAAGAGAAACGTTGAGCAACAATATAGAGATATATGTGTTATAGAGACTGAGTTCTGTATAAATACTAAATTATTTGTATTAGTTTTGAAATAAAAATTATATTCAGTTTTTATTCCAGATATTCATTGAATGTTATGTCATTTTTGAGACAATAATTACAATGAAATCTGTTAATCAAATTTACTTTGTTTTCCAGCTTTTAGGTAATTGACATATGACATTGTGTACATTTAAGGTGTACAACTTATTGACTTGATACACTTAAATATTGCATTATGACCACCATAGTGTTAGCTAATACCTCCATCATGTCACATAATTGCCATTTATTTTTTGTGGCGAGAACATTTAAAATATACTCTCTTAGAAACTTATATAATATAATATTATTAACTATAATTACTACCTTGTGCATTAGATCCCAGAACTTATTTATCTTATAATTGCAAGTTTGCACCTTTTGACCAATGTCTCCCCATTTCCCCAGTGACCACCTGGTAACCACCATTCTACTCTCCGTTTCTGTGAGTTCAGCTTTTCAGATTTCACATATAAGAGAGATTATACAGTTTTGACTTTCTCTGTCTGACTTATCTCACTTAGACTAATGCCTCCAGGTCATTCCATGTTGTTCCAAAAAGCAAGATTTCCCTTCTTCTCATGATTGAATAATATTTAACTATACATATATTATTATATTATACATCTATATAGTTACATGTATGTATATACCATCACTTAAGTTGATTCCCTACCCTTGCTAATCAAATTTACTTTGAAATGCTTTAAATTATTATTGGGTGTAAGATTTTAATCTATTTTTAAGATATTTTTTGCAAATTGCTATAAAAACAGCAAAAACTCAGAACAAAATAATCTGTAAACTCTATAGAAAATGTTGCCCATCAATAATTACCAAACCTTAAAACAAGAAATATGGTACAATGTAAGATGCAATAATGGTTCTCAAAAATGTCACAGTTTGATAGAGATAATATCCATAGCATCCATTAACTGTAAACAATACCAGAAGAGACATCATTATTATAGCATGTGTGATGAACCAGAAGTGTGTCTGATAATAATCTGGAGTGGTCAAAAGTGCATGGAGAATTAAACACCGGTATTTGTCATTGAACGGTGTGTGAGATTAAAAGGTGTCTAAAATTCGGAAAAGGAGAATGGAGTCAAGAAGCCATATTAGTATGGTAAAGCAGCATGAATGAAGACAAGGCCATAGGAATGAACCCAGCATTGTTGAGATATTATAGGAACTACCCCACCCAGCACGACATACAGCTTTCTAACAGATCTTAATAGTTATTAAAATATTAATATATTTTATTTATGCATTACACATTTTATTTTAATCACAACTCACATTATTTTTCTTCTTTAATACAATGCTAAATTCTAGAGAGAACAACATAGAGTTGTCTATGACTAAATACAAATATTTGAAAGAGTGGAAGAAACTGCTAGTAATTTCTAATTTTCATTCTCCCTTTCTTCCTCAATAATAAATGCCCCA